TCCTCTATTGCCTTTGACTGGCGGCAATAGGAAATTAATGCTCGAAATGGACTGGTATCCACAAACACTATCTTTAATTCCTGTGTCCTGGAGAGTGGACCCTAGCTTGTATAAAGTATGCATATATAATCATTTGAGTTACATGCTTATATATCGATTTTAAATAAATTCAAAATATTTAAAACTTTTATATAATTAATAAATAATAAGATATTTTTAAAATTTTTACACTTTCTAAAAATTATTTTTTATTTAAAATAAAAAATATTTTTAAAAATTAAACTAATTTTTTTATTGAAAAATATATTTTATTTGATCAATTTTTTAATAATTAAAAAACACAAAAAACAGAAAATAATTTATAAAAAAATATTTTATATAAAAAAGCATTCTAACAGTCAGTTATTTTTTTTGGTAGGCGTGCGTATAGATGAGAAGTGAAGCAGATTAACCTTGAAGGATTAAAGTTAATGATAATTCATACAAATATTATTACTATTGAAACCTCCTTACATATCCATGCAACTTTCATATATTGAAATCTCCTTGAAGGATTTGATAATGATTAATTTTTTCTCTCCTTATATTTTCTTTCTCTTTTTATTTAAGATCCGTGTTGGTCCAACCAAAATTAAAAGTTATATTTTTATTTTTTTTATCTCAATTATAGTCATTATTTTTTTAATTACTCTTTATTTGTTTTGAATTTTTTTTCATTCCTTATCATTTGATTCTATTTGAATTTTATAATTTTATCTCAATTTATCCTTGCTAAAAATCATAATCTCTTCTCAAGGATTTTCTAATTTTACCAAGAGACTAAAAATCTTTACCTCTTTTAGAGAGTTTTCTATCTACTATCATCTTTTACAATATTTTATAAGATATTAGTTTTGAAATCCTAAAAATATATTTTTAATTTATTTTAACTTGAAAAACATCTTAAAACATTATTAAACTCATTTCAAACACTAAAAGAATCTCTAATATATCTAAACAATAAAAATTAAATGAATAATCTTTTTGAAAGATCTCAGCCTATCTTTTTAGTACAGTTAAAGAAAAACACCACCTTTCTCTTTGAAAAGACACCTATTAACATCAAGATTATCTTTTTTAATAGGTGAAATGTCACATTTCGAGCATTTTCTTTCTCTTCAATATTTTTTAGTGATTTTTTCTCTCATTTCTTAACATCCAATGATTGAAACATAGAAAAATAAAATTTAGGATTGAAACACAATCATAAAATAATATGGATCAAACACTAGATAAAATAAAATATTAGGGAGCAAAAGTTCTCCATTTTAATATCCAAATGGGGTTTGTTTTGTTTATCTTTGTTAAATATGGTCCATTTTCTTTTAATTTTTTTTTAACTATCACTAAATTTTTATTTTATAAAATAAATTTTTAATTTATTATCAAAATATTCCTCGGTACTCTGTATATGTAAGAGAATGCAGATTGAAAAAAATATTAATACATAAAATCATACTAATATAATTTTAAAAAATAAAATTATAAATAAGAAATTTTGATAATTAAAACAAAAAAAATTTGCATGGTACACATGAACATGTTTACCCTAGTTTATTTTAGTGTATTTAGTAATTTATATATTCATTACCTTCTAATGTTTTAAACAAAATTTTATTTTTGTTAGTTTTAAACAAATACTTTGGTTGTTTGCTATTTTGCATAGTCAAAATACAACATGTTATATATTTTGCCCGTGACTCTCATCCGATTAGTTAAGAACATCACCCATTACATTCACATCTATGCATCATGATATATCTCCCATATTCTCTTGGTTAAAGCTACCCAATAAATTTTACATAATTACTCTACTCTTTTGTTTTTTATAGGAGGGTTGGTAGCTCATAGAACTTCCAATAAAATTTTTCCGTTTCATGCAAGTATTATTTTATTTACTGAAAATAAACATTCTTGGTTGCTTCAGTGTAACGTGAGCACCGTAGCTAGTAATATAAATTAAAATAAATGATGTTTTTATTATGTATCACTTTATAGATTTTTATTTATTTTAATATTGTTTTTTTTAATTTTTATTTATTTTTTTAATTTCATACTTTAATAATTAATTTATTAAAAATTAAATTTCATAATTTATTGTTGTTTGCTTTATATGTGTTCAACTAGATTTTTTAAACTAGTCACAGATTTAAAGGGTTAACTCGATAGATTTAAGTTTTTTTTAATTAATATTTTTTTTAATTTTATTTTTTATTATTGTATTGGTTAAGAATTAGGTTTCATAATTTATTTTGATTTGTTTTTTATGAGGTTATCCTGATGTCATAATTTGAATAACGAATTTGACTCATTAACCTAGGGGTGAGCAAAGAAATCGAAAAACCGATTAAACCGATTAAAATTTTGAAAAAACCAGCCGGTTCAGTTCGGTTTCGGTTTTATAACCAAAAAACCGGAAAAACTGAACCGAACCGAACCGAAACCGGGAAAAAACCGAGCCAAACCAGAAAAACCGAGCCAAACCGAGAAAAACCGAGCCAAACCGGAAAAACTGAGCCAAACCGATTTGAACTGGTTTTTCCCCTAAAAAACCGAACCAAAACTGGTCGGTTTGACCCGATTTCGGTTCAGTTTCGGGTTTTTTTTTAATTTTTTTTTTGTTACTTTTTTTTGATAAAAACCGAACCGAACCGAAAATGATCACCCCTAAATTAACCTAGTTGACTTGAGTTTATTTATTTTTTATTTTTTTATAATGAATTAGCAAATCATAATGGATAATATGGTATTTTCCTCATGATTTATTAATTATTATTAAATTAATTTGGACAAATCAATATTTTTATATTTTTTAAACATAATTACTTTTAAAAACAAATATATATATATATATATATATAA